AGGATGCTTCGTGGGATGTATGGGCACACGAGAAAGGATAAGATTGGGAATGAGGATATCCGAGGTAAAATAGGAGTAGCCAAAATTGAAGGAAATATGAGAGAAAATCGGTTCCGGTGGTTTGGACATGTGCAAAGAAGGCCTACTGACGCTCTGGTTCGAAAATGTGACTACGGGACAGAGGTTCAGGGCCGAAGGGGTAGAGGAAGAACTAGGAAAACTTTGGAAGAGACCCTAAGAAAAGACTTGAGTACTTGGATCTAACGGAGGACATGACACAAAACCGAGCGCAATGGCGTTCTAGGATTCATATAGCCGACCCCACTTAGTGGGAAAAGGCTTTGTTGTTGTTGTTGTTGTTGTAGTCATCATTTACAATGGTCTTCAATTCTGTGACTATTGCAGTTCAATGGGTTCAGCAAAAAATGATAAGTCAAGTACAAGGCGTGCAAAAGCTTGGAAAAAGTAAGCTTGATTCCAAAACTAATTTGCTAATGTAGTATTCAGAAATAAAAAAAGTTTAAAAATTCAGTCTTGGAAACTACAGAAGCACATGATTGAAGAACGTTTATAAACCTGAAACTTTGGGTCTTCACTCTGTGCTAGCGTATTTGCAAGCATACGAGTTTGCTCCATTGCAGCTAAGCTTGCCATATTTACACCTCTCATATGATCTGCAGACATCAACTGGGACTGTTCCTGTAACCATGCGAAACAGAAAATTATGCATCAATATAGCTCTCATATAAATTTAAATTGATTATAGTTTTGAAATCCAAATCCTGTTACAACGGGGTATCAAGCAGCATATAAACATAGTCTTACTCTTTCAGTTCAAGGTCAACTCACATACAATAGTGTGATGCACCCAAATTAAGGTTGATAAGCCTAGCGTATTTTTGAGGCCAGAACTTGGACATTCTTCTACTTTTCTTTTCTTTTCTATTCCCCTTATGTTAAATTTATTTTGGTGCTTCTTTATATTACAAGCATACTCCACCATGTATTACGTGTTCGAAACCTCAAAAACATCTTTAGGGCTCTTTTATCTTCATCTCGAACAAGGCCCCTGGTTCCAGGCCAAATACATTTTCCAACCCCAGAATACTGCAACTTAACCTAAAAAACTCAGATACATTGACACCTAAAACCCTCAAACCCCAGAATATTGTAACTTACCCTAAAAAACCTAACATATTGTTACCAGCAATTTTAACTCAAGCACACAATTCCAACCTCCTTGATTAGTAAATCGATTATAGCAAGAACTAGTTGCTAGTGTCGTTCTCCATCACATTATGAAGGTCAATGATTGATCAATAGAAAGTATAGAAACAATGAATGCGATTGAAATACAAGTTACAATACTCCTTTACCTGCTCAAATTCAGAAGCCCAGCCATTGGCACCATGTTGTCGCTCAAATGAGTGAGCCCATGAATTAGGATCACCATGATCTACCCTATGTTGGCTAAATTCAGTGACCCACCCTTGCGCAGCATGAGCACCAGGTTTTGTTATAGCTTGGGATTCATTCCAATAATCGTCTAGTTCCCGAAACCTTGAAGGCAGAGGTCCTTTACTATTGACATCACTGTCAATATCTAAAGAAGATAAAAGTGCATTTACCTGGAAAAATAAAAATAACAAACTTAACATAAACTGTTGAGACTATGAATCTCTTTGGAGAGAAATGGAGCAACTCAAGATACAAAATTCTGAAACAAACCCCTAAGACAAGCAAAAAATGATAATGAGGCCGAAAAACATGCAGAATTGAATGCTCATAAAACAAACCAAGCTGACATCTTCTACTAGAAAAAAAGATACATTTCAAATATAACATAGGTATGAGAAATTTCAAACCTGCCCATTAATAAAATCTTCACTTTTATCAGCAAAGAAGTGCCGTGCCATGATGCTGGTGCGATCACGTATACATTGTTTGTCACCAGCAGACAATCCTAACACTGGAAGTGGAGCAGGACGAAACGGCATTCCACCACGACTACTTTCAACAAATGAGTGCAAAAAGCTTGACAACACCCTTTGTGGTGGCCCTGCAACACATATTTAGAAGGGAAGAATATAAGATAAATCTCAAAATAAACTTTTTAATCCTTTATGCTGAAGATAGACACTACCCCTGGTTGTTTGATGATCAGAAGCACAACCAGACGTTAGGCTAAGCATAAAGTACTACTGCTACCACAAAGCGGGAAGATGATAAGCAACATACAACTCATCCAATAAGAGAAAGTAACACAAAAAAGCTTTTCCTTTTTCTGGATGAACTATAAAATCTCAATAAAAATGCATATTGATCACTTTGCGAGCTCACTTGAGCCAACGAACTGTTACGTATATTAACTGGCAACTGAAAAAATAAACTAAATTTTCAAGATTCTACCTCACTTCAAAGTTAAACCTTTGAAGATATAGCATGATTAAAAGTAGGCCTGAAATCCAAAACACCAAAAGTATCACCCATTATGTGTTTTTCTTATTCAAATGCCAGGTTTTGTGTATTAATCCTCTGACAAACACTCGGCCACAAGCATCTCTACTAATCTCCGATGTTGATAAACAGAGAAACCATTATCCATTCTTGATCAAGCAATCTTGCCATTTATGTCGTTCACTCATTACTTATTTATAAAAGCGAATAACATGTACGATGCGAAAGTCCTAGCAAGTTGTGAATGAAGTGCAACAACCATGAGGTAAATACTACAAAGACAAGCACTTCGAGAAATTTACCATCCAAAGTCGGTTGAAGCTGAGGAGAAGCTCCCATATCATAAATGGGGTCGTGTTGAGGCATATGCATAGGCCCGGGCTGAGAACTCTGTATCTCATCCCACGCATTGTCAAGCAGTCTGTTGCCATCAACGGAGTTGAAGTTCCGAAGAAAGTCCGAGCTCTGACACAAAACGAATGCCAATTAAGCAAAATTAACAAATGCTAAGCAAGTAAAGACCAACGCTAAAACTAAAGCAGTGGAAAAAGATTGGAGCTTTGGAAGTAAAACCTGAGTGCCGGGCTGCATAAACGGCTGGTCAAACTCGGAGCCGGGGAGCTGTTGCAGGTGGCCATGGCCGTCGGGATAAAACTGCGGCTCAGAAGCAGTCGGCGTCGACGAAGGTATCTCCTTCAACCTCTCCTGCTCACAAAAGAAATCGATTTTCAACAAAACGACGCCGAATTGCTGATCGAAATGAACGAAATACAGAGAGATAGAAAGGACGAAGAGAAGACGAACCTGCTGCTTGGAGGAGGAGCCGATGAGGGCGTTGGCGAGGGCGCCGAAAGGATTGGAGGAAGAAGATTGGCCTGGAACCGCACGCTGCTCCGCCGGTAACGAGGTCGCGCATCGCCATGGCGGCCGATGTTCTTCTCCCTCTTCAATCCACACCAGAACTACAAAACAACCGCCACCACTGTATAAATATATATCTCTGTATATCTTTTTTTCTGCGAATTATTTAAATATGAATTAAGAAAAATATGAAGAAATTCTAAGTGGGGTTGTTGGGATTTGTATTGGGGAGATAACAGGAGAGAGAGAGAGAGAGAGGAGAGAGATTTGATAGCTGTTTGAGTTCCTCTTCCTCTTCTTCTTCTTCCCCTGATGGGCTAAAATTGTCTTGGTATGTCAAACTTATCAGATGAATTTAATTAATTAATTTATTTATTTATTTTGGTTCGTCTTCCTCGTTGGATCGTGTGACGCCGCTGACATGAGTAGAGAAGGGTGGTCAAACGGTTAAAAGTAAAAAGTTAACAAGAAAACTAGTTTGGTGTCTTTTTTTCTTTTCTTTTTTATAGGAAAAAGGGAGACAGGCAAAACAAAAAGTGAAAGTAATGAAAAATGATTAAAAATTTTGAGTTTTAACGATAATGATAAAATAAAGGGTAAATTGAATAGTACTAGAATTGACTTTTTAGTGTAAAAATGTGATTTTTCGTTAAAGTGAACAGTACCGTAAGTTTTTCATTATAACTCCCAAAACAAAATCGGAAGATAGAATATAAAGATGGATATTCTTAACCGATTGAATTATAATTACCTTTTAAAAAAAATGGACTAAAACTTTCTCACTAAAATGTTTAAAAAGTTCTAATTTTGTTGTCAAAACTATAGTTGGTGTGTTAATTGATCACTTGTTTGGAAGAACTTTTAAAATGATGAAATGACTTTTGGTGAAATTGATTGTGCACTTAAAATGATTTTTCAGGATCTACTTAAATTTGTACTAATAATTGGTTTTGAAAATATCTTTACCAAAAGTGCTTTTAGTTATTTTAAAAGCACTTCCTAACGAGTTCGAACAACAAAATTGTATGAGAGTTGGGGAAATTTTTGCTTGTGATCAGAATACGGGCCGGTACAATACATGAGTAGAAACAATTTCTTGGAAAAAAAATGCAGAAAATTGTACAAAAAAGAAGTTGAAAATTTGAACTTCTAGGGGACAAATGTTTAATCAAATTCTTAAAATGAATAAATATGAGTTTAAGAAATTAAAAAATAAGGCGTTTATTTCAAAACGGCTCTTAAAATTATTTAAAAATAGTTTAACTAAAAGCGCTTTTAAATCACTAAAAAAGAGTTTTTAACTAATTATAATAAAAAAATGCTTATTGATAAAAAATGGAACTTTAACCAAAAGCTCTCAATACGGTTTATTTTAACGAAAAATCACATTTTTAATCCTGATACTATTCACTTTACTCTTTATTTTGTCATTTTTGTTAAAAATTCAAATTCTTTTTATTAGTTTTTTTTTTAATCACTTGCATTTTTATTAAACTTTGACGGAAGTGATGAGTAAGCGCTTCGGTTAGTTGGGCTTATATTTATGGGCTTGCACAGATGCCATAACATCGTTTCAAAGCCCACTAGATTCAGGCCCAACCCCTGCAACGAGCTGAGCGAGTCACTCGGAAATTAAAACAAAATAAAATCACAATTAAAATAAATATAAAAAAAAATAAAGAGAGGGGAAAGAAGAGCAAAAGCAAAAGCAAAACCCAAACCGAAACCGGAGCTCCGAAGAGCCAAAAACCAAAACCACCAAATCGCGAAATCGACAAAAAATGGCAGAATCCTCCAGCAGCGGGCTGACGTTCAAGCTCCATCCACTGGTGATCGTCAACATCTCCGATCACTACTCTAGGGTTAAGTCCCAGATGCACCCGCCGATCACCAACACTCCAACACCACCACCCAACAACAGCGCTGAAGGAGCAGTAGAAGCAGCAGCAGCCTCCTCTTCTTCCTCCTCCTCCACCGCCTCCGCCTCGTCTCCGCGGGTCTTCGGCTGCGTTATCGGGGTTCAGAGAGGCCGCACGGTCGAGATCTTCAACAGCTTCGAGCTCCTCTACGATCCCGAGACTCACTCCCTCGACCGCGCCTTCCTCGAGAAGAAGCAAGAGCTCTGTGCGTTCTCGTTTATCATGGCTTTTAATTTTTTTTTCTTAATTTTTTTGTGCGGATTTAGGGTTTTAATCAGTGGCAGTATTTTGCTTTTGCAGATAAGAAGGTGTTTCCACACTTTTACATACTGGGGTGGTACTCCACTGGAACAGATGCTCAGGAATCTGACATGAACATCCACAAAGCTGTAATTTTTTCCGCCCTGTTCTTATTTTATCCGCAATTTGTAATTTATATTATTCGAACCCGTAGATACTGCATTATGTGATAATGTGCTGTTAGGGACCAAATCATGTCAACTATGAACCCGTTAATGATTCTTGAATTTGAAAATCTATAACCAAAGTTTAACTAATTAAACTTGTATAGTTGTAACCGTTGTGTTCTAGTTTTTCGGCGATATGGTTATGGTGCATTTGGTATTCCCCATGATAAGATTGTGTGTTTCTATTGCCACAGTTGATGGATATCAATGAAAGCCCTGTTTATGTTCTTCTCAACCCTTTGATCAATGCTGCTCAAAAGGATCTCCCAATCACTATTTACGAAAGTGGTACGTGTGTATGTAAGATTCTGTGGGCAATTCCAGTTAATTGTAAACTTATAGTTTCCAATTCTGTGAATTTCTGCTATCTGGTTCCTCCATGGCTGAAGCGTGTATTTTTATCATGGCATCTGCATGTAGTTATTTCTCTTTCGTGTATATACTATATACCCTGATTGTTAATGCTTATTTTGGTTTGAACTGGTTCGTTGGAGTTTGCTTGAGATACTGTATTGGATTTCGGCCATTTTTGGTGTTTCTTTGGAAGTAATCCTTAACAAACTACAAGGGCTCTAGTGCCGGTTCCAGTTCTTTCTTTACTCTGTCATACATAAGTCTGTCAAATAAACTTATCTATTATTCAGGGTTGGTCATTTTGAAATGAGTCGCATGCTGTTGTTTACGCTTCTTAACATGATGAGAATATCCATTTGACTAGTTTTCCGGAAAAAAAAAAAAAAAAAAAAAAACCCACATTGATGGTGTTGTGCTACAATGTTATCTATTGCTTGCTGCCATTTTCTCAATTTTAATTAAGATTGGTATTGGGTCTTTCTTTTTCTTTTTTTTTTCGTTGCCTTCTGTTGTACAATTACTAGTTCTTGCAACATTTATTAGTCATATGAAATCGTGGTCCTAAGTGAAATCCATTGTGCAATGATTTTTTATCATATCAATATTTGTGAATGATGGGGCTTGCTTATTATGTTTCTATTCGCCTAGATTCCTATCTTATGGAAAACTTGTGGGATTTAGACAGATTCTTGGTTCCTATTAGAATCATTTAATGTGGTTTATCATGTTATCTGTTTAAACTATTTGTGGTCTTATGAATGTTAAATATTACAACTGTAGAGATGCATGTCATTGATGGGATTCCACAGCTAATCTTCGTCAGTTCAAGCTATACTATTGAGGTTAGGCTTATTCAATCTTATCTATTTTAAAAGTTATTATTATCAACTAGAGTTTACTGAGACATTTTCTTGTGTGTGCGCTTCAAAGACTGTGGAAGCTGAGCGCATTTCAGTTGACCATGTTGCCCATCTTAAACCATCTGATGGAGGTTCAGCAAACTCAATGTGAGTCCTCAGTTGATCACGTTGCTTGTCTCACACCGATTCTTCCCCCCAAAAGATAAGTGGACGTTCGCATCTATTTCTGATACAAACTAATACAACCTGGGTTGTGTGCAGTGGCTGCTCATCTTACTGGAATTCACAGTGCCATCAAGATGCTAAATAGCAGAATTAGAGTGCTTCATCACTATCTTCTTGCTATGCAGAAAGGTAAGCGCATACTTTTAGTATAATTACAAGTCTTTGCCTGGAGCCATGTTTTAGAAAGGTCCAGAAGTCATACTAATTGCTCTTGTTTCTCTACCCGCAGGTGATATACCTTGTGAAAATTCACTGCTAAGACAAGTATCAAGTCTTCTGAGAAGGTTGCCTGCCATAGAATCGGGGAAATTTCAAGATGATTTCTTGATGGTGAGTGTTACTTGTTTGAATTGTGAATTCACTAGTAGAGGCATGCATTTAATTGTAATATTAGAGAAATAAGCATTATTTAAAAATGGGAAGATGGCATAATAATTTTGGATGGTATTGGGCAATGGTAAAAGATTTGGTCGTACTCTTCCCAGTTTTATATGTTTCATCAGAATAAACTAGTTATATTAATCGTAAGAGCTGTATTCAGTAGAGCTCATTGTTTAAGCTTTATGGTTCAGAAAAGCTCTTCATTTATGATTCATTTCTCCAATAATCAATTTTATCTTCTTGTTTATTTGAATTAAAAGATTGTGTAATCCATAACTGTAAATAAGGCCTCTTTGTCGAGATTTTTCCTCTCTTTTCACGATTTACATATAATGTATGATTGTGGATACTGGATGATGATTAAGCTGACATATTTATCCCGTGAATTACTCATGTTGCTGACTCTTTTTTTATTTTTGGTAGGAATACAATGACACTTTGTTGATTACATATTTGGCTGTGCTGACCAACTGCTCAAGGTATGAGATGTTGCCTTTCTTGCACTAATATGTTTTCCCTTGCATGTGATTCTTAACGAACTGAATGAAACTTTTCAATGTCGATTATTTTATTACAATTGAAGTCATGTAAAAAAGTTGTTGCACCAAAAGGAAAGATAAACATAGAATGTAACCAAAACTTTTTCTATGCCAATGACTTTGAAACGCGAGAGTACCTATCTAGCAATTGCTAGTACTTCCTGCCCTGAATGATTGTAGGGTTTGGCAAATGGGCGCCATTTTACAAGCTTTTGTCAACAAATGCTGACTGATGGTGTCCTGAATTATATACGATAAGTCTTTGATGTGCGGTCACAAATATTGTTCTTACTCCTAGACTAAACTTGTTTATAATGCGGGTGTTGTCATAAGGTTGAATATACGAATTACGTTCATAATTAGGATCTTAGTCGATACTAATGCAATTACCAAGTTTGCATTCCTACAGTTGCACTGTACTCTTCAGTAGTTGAATATGGCATTGTATTTTCTATTCATTGATCGTTTGTTACAATATTTTGACAAGTTCTCTTTGTTTCTTTTTGTTCAGTACAACGAATGAGCTGGTCGACAAGTTCAACACCGCATATGATAGGCACAGTCGAAGAGGTGGACGGACTGCTTATTTCTGAAAGCTGCTTTGCCATAATATGTAGTAGTGTTTAGTTTCTTTGAGAACCTTTTGGGTGCTGCTGGATTTGTTTGACTGCATAATGCATAGCACATAGAAGTGTAGAAATTGAAATATTACTCGGACCTTGATCATTCGAAAAGAAAATCACACCTTACATTATTTCACCGTATAAATGCTATAATTTGAACGGTTTTCTTTTTATTATCATCCAAACAAGGTTTTTATTATCGGACAAGGATTGTCTGCTCTCCTTGTTCCCGTGCCCTCCTGTTTGTGTGATCACGGTTAAGTCACGTCAACATTTTATATTACTATTCATTTTTGTCTTATTATCTCTATAAAAAAACAATATGAAATGTTGACGTGGTTTAACTGTGATCACACAAAACAGGAGGGCATGGGAACAAGGAGTGCAGACAATCCTTGTCATTTATTATCATCCAAAGAAGGGAATACTAGCAATTGCTAGATAGGTACCCTCGATTGTCAGACTTTGCCTTGCTACCCTTGATTGTCAAACTTTGCCTTTCTTAATGTTCGTGAGAGGACGTATAAGAATGTGAGGACAAAGTCCCGCCTCAGGACCCTAATGTGCAATATTGCATATATTGTTGAGTCGTTCAGGGATTTTATTGGCCCTGTTGAGATTCTGTACCTGCTTCTAAATGACCCTCATGCCATCAGCGCCAAATCAACATTTGAATGGTTACGATTAAACCATATTAACATCTTAGATTGAATTCTTTAGAGAGAGAGAAAGAGAAAGAGAGAGAGAGAGAGTGGAGAGAGAGGAATTAGTCTCAGAGAAGCAACATCATGGACTTTTCTAAGGAGTTGAACGACTCCCTCTATTGTCAATTAGTTTCCTTCGCCACATGTCTCAGCTAACATTACTAAACTATCATTAATTTCAAACATGGGTTTTATAAACTGATTGTTGCAAGCCAAGACTGGAATTTGTACCTCTTCTGCTGAGCACGCTCTCTATTTTCAACTGGTGATAGCAGCTAGAGCAGATTAGGCCGCCATCTTTACCTCGTCAATGGCTTTGTTGCTCGGTACTTCGACAGAGAAATAACTTTCGATAAAAGGGGAGTTTCATAGAGGATATCTATTTCCCTCCATGGAATTGCCATCCATCATAACATCCCATTTCACAACATTCCAGACATATCTTCAGCCATGGCTTTTGGTTACAAATATCACTCAGAGCTCCGTATCCTTTGCTAGACAGATAAGTATTCCCAATACCAAGCCAGTGTAGTCCCGCGAAGGAAGGCCTCTTCAGCAACACCAATGAATCAATAGACAAACCACTGCAACTTGTAAGGTCCAGCCTCCGAAGTGGTTTGCATTCGTCTCGGAACCTTTTCCTTGCAGCCAAAACTTCCAGGGAAGAATCAGTCACAGAGAGGCAACATCTTAAACACAACTCTGTAATCTCCGTACCGACCATGGCAATTGTAAGAACGGCTTTATCTGATATATTCGGGATATATCCTAAATCCAGGGACGACAAAGTTTTGCCAATTGTGCCTCCACTATCGAATAAAAGAGAAACTCCTTCGTCGGTCACCCTTGTACAGTATCTGAGACACAAATGAGTAATGGGTGGAGTCCCCTGGCCAAGAATGGACAAGCCGTAATCAGTGATATCAGCTCCTGTGAGATTCAGCGTGGTTAAGCTACGCAGACATGAGATGGAACTGAGGCAGGAATCTGCTATGCTCTTACAGCCACAGAGGTAAAGCACCTCCAAGGTGCTGGAACAGGTCAGCTGCTTCACAGCTTCACTGGTTATAAAACTACACGACAGCAATTTTACCTCAACAAGGGAACATGGGAACTCATTAACATTAAGAAAGGCCAAGTCTGACAATCGGAAGGCATTTCGAGCTTCAAATTTCTTCAAGTTCAGACATGATTGTAAGATCGATGTATAGCCTGCGTCACTGACTTTGGAGAACCCACAGAGTCTCACTGACTGTAGACCTTTGCAGCCCTCAGAAAGAAGAAACATGCCCACATCAGTTACTCTTTTGAATGAAATTTGGTAGTTTTGTCTCCTTCGTACAAGAGACAATCCAATCAAATGATGACAGGATGCCACATATTGAAGCCCGGTGTTTGTCAAGTCGAGGTTCGGAAGTGGTTCCATATGTGGTCTATCTTCAAGATCTAGCTCTACCAAATGGGGAAGACTGCGGGCAATGACAATGATCAGCTGATCAGATATAACATCTAAGACGAGGGACAAGCGCTGCAATGTCAATCCAGATGACAATGGAGAGATGGGAAAGCTGATATGAGCTCTTTGCACATTATTCCTGCCAGCACCAACTCTACTTTGATCAACTAGACGAATCGCGTCATGCTCAAGCACCGACTGCAACTTCATGCTTTTAAGAGTACTAGGTAGGACGAAATCAATGGACTGAAAAGCAGTTGAATCGAAATCTCTCCCTCGAATCTTAAGAGATAAAGACTCCAAGAACAAGCATCCATTAAGCATGCAGTCCAGGTAAAACTTAAGTTCCTTATCCGAGTCTACCAATTCTAGCATAAGCACCCTAACCACACAAACAAAAACTTCCCATTACAAAAAACATCAAGATGCGGTCTTTCGTGATTATAGCACGTGAATTAGTAACACCATGTAGCTCGGTGACAAAAATAAAAAATTCGGATACCTCAGATTAGGGCAGGTCTGTCCAATGGAAGCAAAGACTTGATAGGACAGCATAGAGCAGCTCAACAAATTCAGTTCTTGGATATGTGGCCCCAGAACATTTCTGATTGCCGAATTTTCGAGGCGGAGGCAGTTAACGGTGAGGCTGATGAGGCCTGTGCAGCCACCAACAATGCCACTCAAAATCTGCGCATCCGGATAAAATGCCTGCAAATACAAAAATAACTTCAAAATTTCCATCTTTTCAACAAATTTCAGTTCCAAAAACAAAACCCAGATAATAATTTCAACCAAAATTCAGAAAGTGAGAGAATTTTACGAGATCGAGAGAGGAGACAAAGGGAAGGGCCCGAGAGACTGAGAAGTTCATGGCTTTGCTGACGCAAGCAAGCGAGGAAAGAGATTCGATGTCCAGCTTGAGAAGAATCTCCTTTATTAATAGGCAGATGTGCAGTCTCTCCAAACCCATCGTCCTTTCTTCTTCTTCTGCTCCGTCTTCTCCGATCTCCTGTTGCTCGCTGGTTTCGAGCTTTTTGTGTAATCAGAGGACGAGTTTTGGGAAATGCATTCTCTCGGTTGGGCTTTTATGTGGAAACGGAGCTCGGCTGCTGAAAAATCAGCAGCAGCTCTTGATAGCGAATTACGGTCGATGCATATCCAAATAATTAATTTTTTAATTATAATTTGAACACATGTTTATTTGTGTGATTCACTAGCAGTAAGATTGTTTTAGCAGCCAAGCTTTCTCTTTTATGTGGCGCTTCTTTTTTATTTTTTTATGTTTTTTTATGGGTTTACCCGATAATCCATCACCATTAGTTTTTTTTTTTTTTTTTCTTTCAAGAGAGAGATGGTGTTTTCTATTTTGGACAAGAAGATTGGCTTCTAAAAAATTGAGGAAACTCGAGTAGGATTATCTTCATTCCTAATCTATCTTCCCTCCCAATCTCTCTTTTCTGTCATCCTTTCTTATTTAAACAGTTGCGATTATGTCACGTCTACTTCTTGTTTTGAATTTTGTATATAGAAATAAAACAAAAAGAAAAGTGTGAGAGGAGGGGATGGAAGGGAATGGAAATAGAAGGGGAGATAATTCTACTCCCTTTAAAAGAGGCCAAGATCTATTTACAGAATTTCATGTTTATAATATATATCACTACATCTTTATAAAAAATTAATTAAAATTAATATTGTTTAGTTATTAAATTATATAAAAATAAATTGATGGATCCGGTAAATACATTATGAACCGTTTATTTATATGCTATGATAGATTGACTAAACGGTCTTACATTTAATTATTTTTTTACAGAAATGATCTTTACAGAGTGATTTGTAATATGAGCAATTTGATCATAAATACGAAGTTTTGTGAATAGCTCACAAAGTATTCTAAGGTGGAACTCCTCCTCAACCTAACCTTCAAATCAACAGTACTTAAAATTTGGTATTCCTACTCAAGTTTTAGGTGGACGGTTCAATACTTTGTTGAGATTTGGTATTCCTACTCAAGTTTTAGGTAGACGGTTTAATACTTTGTTGAGTTAGATATGTAGATGTGGCAGACTTATTATGTAGTTTAACCTTAATCGCTAAACTTTAATATTGTTATTAAAAAAATTAATGGCAAGTGTCATGCATAAGTTCTTCTGGTTCAAGGTTGTGGATATGTCTTTGCGCTGGTGGTGAGAGTAATCAATCTCTCCCTAACTTTTTCATTACAAAAAAAATTAAAAAATTAATGGCAAGGGTAACATGAACTTTGATGGAGTAAATAGTAGTGAAACAACAAATTCCAAGTAGAACTGAATTTGAGAACTCAATCCTCTTATTGGTACGACAAGCATAAAACGTGAACCAACAATGCTGATTCAAACAGACAATTCAGATGTCGAAATAAGGACGCCATCGTTATCTGCATACAACCATTCGCCTTCACGAATCATGGTTCCCGCAATGTTGATCGGAACATGCTTTTCTCCGACGCCTTTTTTGTTCGATTTCATCGGATGAGATGCCAAAGCCCTCACCCCAATATCACACTCATTGATCTCATCTACATCTCTAATGCAGCCATTCACCACAATACCTGCCCATCCCATGTTTTGAGCCAACTGTCCCAAGTTCCCTCCAACCAAAGCACATCTCATGCTTCCTCCTCCGTCAATGACCAAAACTCTTCCCTCGCCTTTGGTTTCGAGAAGCTGTCTGACTAAGACATTGTCCTCAAACACCTTGAGTGTCGTAATGGGGCCTGAGAATGCTCGGGATTGTCCATATACCTGGAAAATTGGTGGCAGCACACGCAAACCTCCGCTTCCCACAAGAGTTGTATTCGTATCACAAATTTCAGCAGTTGCTAAGGTAGCCATATTTCGCCTGCAGATGCATACAGTCTGCATATCATCAAAAAGTGGTAATGCACATAAAAACTACCTAAGAATAAGCTCAAGCAAAACAACCAACAATAACTTCTCGTCGCAGTTACAGATTCCTAGCATGCTAGTACACTCGAGAAAATAGAGGGAAAGAACCGGAGTTTTGGATAAATATAGGAGCAGCATTGTGCATATTACTGGTTTACTAGCTCGTAAATTCATAGACTGACCACCATATTTCCATTCCATATAACCAAATAAGTGAGAAAACATATTAGGACACACTTTGTTAGGACAATTCATCCCACAATCTGAAAAATAGTGTATCTTGGAGTGGTTTACGAGCTCCTCGACACCCTTCCTTTACAAGCCGGATTTTGGGGGCAAGTTCTACTCATGACCTGTTAACAATTGGTATCAGAGCCTTATTTCAGCGCGCAGCTAAGCCGCCTCAAACAAAAGGAAAGGACTACCACCGGGCCAAAGACAGAAATTTCTTTGTGCACAAACGTGTGTGCAATTTCACTAAAGAACACCAAGGTTTTAAGACATTCAGCAATTCTCAATCCATACATGCAAATTTGGATTCACGAGAGATACAGTGACCATCACAAACATCCGTGCCTAAAATTATTTCTTTTCCAAAGTATGGATCAAGGATAGCACAACACAAATAAAACTAATCGAAGGCGAAAACCCCGATCTTCATATGGAAATCTAGAGAAAGCTAATGAGGCCAAGCTTAAATCTTCCTATATGTTCCAAAAGTTGAAAGAGCAGCATGAGATTAAACAGTCTTAATTAGCAAAAGGAAAGAGGCGCAGACAGGGATGAATAAATTGATCAAGTTAATAGCTAGAGGCATAAATTCACAATATTTTAATAAAACATGAGGATTTCATATAAAATATAACAGAGAAGCCAACTAACATCTCTAATCCATAAGAACTCATCCAATTATACAATGAATTAATCAGTAACAACTGAGAGGATGCTAAAGGGTAGTTTTCCCCACTCCCAAGTTTCTCGTCTGCACTCCTCTCCTTGTCTTTGTCCATTGATTCCAGGGAGGAGTGCAGCGGAGAAAATGAGAGTACGAAAATCACTTTCTAAATACAGATACGAACATAAACTTATTTATCTATACCTAATGCCACATAAACTTACCTAAATTCAAGATAATAACGGTATTTCAAGCCAAATACTTGTCGTAACATCTAATTTTCACACACTCTCAACATGAAAATATTATCTTCACCAATCTCCGAACACAGACAAATTTACACAAGGAAAGCAGAAAACAGGAAACTGAAGCTTACCCAGAAGAGAGAATGAGATGACAGTGTTTGTTCCTCTCTTTTTCTATGTTTGCTTACAAGTTACAACTCACAAGGTGAAGTCTTTCATTCCCTTTTTTATAAAAGTAATTATAAAAATAAAAATAGTTAACAGAGAGTCAAAAGAAGCTGATATCAGCCCTGAATAGGCTCACTGGTCGTTACCAATTTGGCTGCAGATTATCCTGTTGAGTTCTGTGCCCCAGAAATTTCTTGGAAGTTGCACTACCCGCCAAAGTTAGTTAATTAGCCTTTCCGTCCCTCGAGGGATTCTTGGGCTGGTCCAAGTTAGAAGGGTTGGGCTGCTAATTTCCTTAGGTTTCATGGGTCATGTTGTGGACTAATGCCAAGCCGAACCAGATAATGTGGTTCAAATTGCTACACATAATTAGGTACATAGGCCGACCCAGCACTGTAAATTGATCGAGCCGAGTCGACTGATAAGACGAGAGCCGGTTTGGGTCAATCTATCAGGCTATCCCTGATTTTCAGAGGATAATCGGTTAGGTTTTCAACGATGATTATGGGTCGGTCCAGCCCAATGCAGGAGTGAATCGTGATGTGGTACCAAGAAAACAACTTGGTCTGAACGAGGCTCGAACTTAGGTATGGCCGAAAACAATTGGCCTCTTCACTAGTTCGTTTGGCAGTGCGACGGACAAAATTCTAATTCAGCCTCAACCGGTTCTGTAAAGTCTCATTTTGAGACACGATATGTTAGACTTTTGTCCGATTTAATAAGTCAGGTTCGTTTACTAAAAGATCACCAAATATTAGCCAAAATAGCACTCCAATTTATTGAAATAGTTAAATCCATACCAAACAACCAAATAGCTGTGTCACAAAATTATGATACCATGAAAGAAACAAAGATCAAATACAAGAAAGTGGAAGTTGAAAAACCCAACAGAAACTTACATTTTTTTATTTTGTGAACGTTTACACAGATGAGTAATCGTAGCACAACTCTTTCTTGTATCATTCAAATACCACGTAATGTCATTGTTAAACACAATACACAATAGTACAATACCACCTAATGGTCAAATGCAATAAACCATTTCTGAATATACTGAATTTGGCTGCTAACGTTTCCAAGATTTACACATTCCCTCCAACTTCGTTGACCTAAATTGAAATGTCGGTTCCTGCCCCACATTTGCTTCTTACAGGCAGAGCAGCTGTAATTTTTATAGGGCAACATCTGCAGCAGCTTTTGTTGCCAAGAATATAGCAGCAGCTGCCCCCATTGTAGACTTGTAGTAGATAAATACATATTGCTCTTTTTATTCTTTTTGTGGCATTACAAACAAAAACGCAAGGGATTACCACCATATCCTTTGTTTTAAGAGAAATAATAACAAATAAGGCCTATTTGAAATTGCTTTTGTAGGAAGCACTTCTATTTAAAAGTGCTTTTGCTAAATGACGCTTATAAATATGTTTAAAATTTAAATTTTTTTAGTTCTTAGAATTGTATTCTGAAGAAGCACATAGCAAACGTTTCTGCATAAACCACTTCTTCAACATATAAGTGTTTTTAAGTTTTTCTACAACATAATATATAAGAATCAATTTTAAGGTGCATATATATTTCTCTTTCTCGATTATTCAAATGTTCATGAAAAAAATGAAAAAGCAGTTATATATATATATATATATATATATCAATATCATGAAAGGTGATGTTATCAACACTCCTTATATTAATTTTTATTATTTGATTTTCTTTAATTCAATCGATAGCCGAAAAATAAAAAAAACTTGTGAAAGATAAAAAAATAATGCGTGAATATCACCACGAATCATGAATTGATATGATATCACAATACAGCCACACGGCCTTGGTTTATATGTAAGTTATAATGAATTCAAAATCACGAAAACGATATGTAGCATAATCATGGCTAGCTATTGCTTTCACTTATAATTTGGTCGGCTCAAAATGTCAAAGCAAAAAGGTTATTAGGGAAAGAAAAGAAAATTTGAACAACATATGGGCTGGTGGGTAGGTCAGAAGAAGAAAATAAAGATTTAAGAAATAAACGTGGTACCCACGATTTATAACTTTTGAAGAAAATTACCTTGCCAACCCATGATTATATTTCATGATTGCAGGTAAGAAATATGGATCCCTTCAATCTTCCATAATCCATATCACTTAAAGCATTTAGCTATATATGGGCTATTTGATTTGATCTAGTCAATGAGTCCACAATGGTGAAAACGAGTTACTCAAATCGATACCTTTCACATGGCTCAAAGGTTCGATATTTTATCCGAGGCTTATTTTGGTTGGGTTTATTTTTCGAAATGAAAAATTAGTATCCGATCCTTAGTTTCTAATGTTAATTGATTAGAATTTTATCAGTTTTCAGATTTTGATCAAAGTCTCTAGCATTAGTGTATTAATGAATTATATGTCAGTTACGTAATTTTTTAAAATAAAAATTAGTAATTGATTTAGAGTTTTAATACTCACACCCTTATTAAACTCTTAAGGAGCTTTTAGATCCAAGTCCAAAAACATAGAATTTTTTAGGAGTGAGTTCAGTTATCTAATTATATGTTTTTATTTCTTTTATACTCATTTTATATTTTCTAAAAATATTAAAAATCAATTAAAATCTTCTAATATTATGCATTTTCCAACTCCAAAAAATATAATTAATATATTATAACAAAAAAACTAATATACTAACATAAATTTATCTGCAAAACATTCTACCCTAACTCAAGTAACAAATATATGAATGTATATTATACCTATACGTGAGATATGAAACCTAATTAAAAGGTAGAAAAAAGATAACATACTTACAAGTAAGACACATTAATCTGTGACAGGTTGATTGTTAAAAAAAAACTGTCATATAGGTAGATAAATATAATTAACCTGTGATATAGGTTGATTATAAAAATTAAAAATAAAATCTATAAATAGGGTTTAAAGCCGAAGGAAGAATGAGAAATAACAAAAAGATAAATAAAAAGAAATAAGCAAAGAGATAATTGGGAATAAATTTGATTTTAACAATAAATCTTATCATTGAACAGATAAGATAACTATTGATAATTATATAATTAAATATAACAAATTGGACTTATTTTAATAAATTGGACTATTCCTACTATTGGCTCAAAAAATTGGACTTATATCAAGTTTCCCCAACTCTTAATTAGTTTTCAATTCAAACATTTCCAAAATATTAAAATAAAAATAGAATAAGTTTATTCCCATTAAATTTTTATCTTATATGTACCCATTCATATAATTTTTCAGTTTTTTCTAATCTTAAATGACCAATTCTTAAATATATCAATGTGTTATATGAAAAATGTATCCTTTTTAATATAAAATTCATTCAATCATTTCTCTAATCTATTTTTTAAACTTATAAGGGTACATTGTAACATCTCACATCGTCCATGGGAGTTGATCATGTAAGCCTTATATGTATATTCTCATCTCTACCTAGCACGAGGCCTTTTGGGAGCTCACTGGCTTAAGGTTCCATCAGAACTTCGAAGTTAAGCGAGAGTTCGCGCAAGAGCAATCCCAGAATGGGTGACCCACTGGGAAGTTCTCGTGTGAGTTTCCAGAAACAAAACTGTGACGGCATGGTCGGGGCCCAAAGTGGACAATACCGTGCTACGGTGGAGTCGAGCCTGGGATGTGGTGGGGGCCCGGGCCGGGATGTGACATACTTTCTATTTCGTTAATTTGAGAATGTATCCATGTCAAGTTTAATAGAAGAAATTTAATAATGTTATTAAGCCTAATATCATTTTTTTTGTGTGTTTTGAAAAATGTACCCATGTTCTGGTACAATAATATTTTGGTTAGTTTTGGAATGTGCCAATGTATATATATACCCAATATATTGGAGAGTATAATTTATCTTTAATATTTTTTTAATCCCATAAATTATGGGTTTTATATAAAATCTCATTAATATAAATAACTACAAATTTCATTTTTTATTTTAAAATATTATAACCTATATAGAAATACATTATTACATTAATGTTAGGAACTTCGATCAAAATATAACCACAAAGGTTTTAGTAAAAAAATATTGGTATTTAAGGACCACATCCAAAGTCTCAAGAATGAAAGAAATGATAAGGATAACAAATTTAAAAGATTTTAACAGCGTCGAGCATGTTCATGCACGGATGAGTGAAAACTATTAAATAAAGTAAATTTTAGGGGAGATGTTAGCAATCTTTCACTCGTACATTTTTATTTAATTTATTCAGTTTTCACTATTTAAATATTACTGTTGAGAAAATAATCAACCAAATTAATTAGAAACTGTTTAACCATTTAATTAATATTTTAAATTTTTTTGTATTTAACTGAAAAATAGTTCGCTTATTTATTAAATGATGTATAAACGATTTATTTATTTTTGTAAATGATCTTTAAAGGGTGACCTAAATAGAAAGTAAACAATTCAGATATAATTGTGCAACATTTGCATGATGAAAAGCTAATAAGTTAAACGAGAAAATCCAAATAAGAAAGTTGTTGACATTGCTGGTAAGTGGATTTGTGTTTTTGTTCAGTGATCCAACCGCCTTGCTTCCGGTTATATTTATAATTCTGTCATTGATCTCCGTATAATTCACAGCTTTGGCGCTTGTAATAAAGTTCGCCGCAGCGCAAAAACTGTAGAGGTTCTTTGGCATTCACCTCCTTTCGGTTGTATTAAAATTATACTGATGAATACTGATGGTGCCCTTAAGGGTTCCTCAGGTACGGTGGTGCTGGTTACGGAGGGGTCTTTAGGGCTTTTCAAGGTACAGTGCTGGATGCTTTTTGTGCTAATCTTGATATTCCTAGCTCTGTGGCACCAGAGGTTGTGGCTGTTATAAAAGCCATAAAGGTAGCATGGCTTCATGATTGGAAACATGTATGTATTGAGGTTGATTCCATGTTGATTTTGAATTTTTTTTCGCTCGCCTAATCTGGTGCCCTGACGGTTTAAGGTGGAGTGGAGAAAATTTGTTTGTTTTGTTTGTCTCAAATGTAGTTTCGAATCTCTCATATATTTCGGGAGGGAAGGTAACCAAGTTGCAGACGCTTTGGCTATCAATGATGTTTCTGTTTCGGATTTGGTCTGGTGCGATTTTCCTCCACCTTTTATAATGAATTTTGCAATCGGGA